GGGACACTTTGTAGCCAACAGATTTGAATTTTCCCACCCACAGTAGCGGTCAGCTGTCACCACGCACGATGTCATGCTACCAATAATGCCAACTGCCACATGATTGGTCGAACACGGAATGAACTATGACTTGAGTCACCGCCATACCGCTGTTAATACCTAACCTATGCATTTATTACACTTGTTCTATTAGTTTTGAGTCGACTTTTGTGTATTAAAATTAAATTGTTGTCACCAAATATTGAAAAATTATAGCTAATAAGCCCCTTCATAAGTCTCATTGATGTATTTTTAGATAGGTATTATTATAGGTATTCTTATAGATAGGTATTATTATAACATGTGCAACTTAAAGCTTTGTTTGATTCAAATACCTATCTATTTATAGAAGAATCATGAGTGTAAGCAAGTATGATTCACTAGGTGGCCTTCCGGCTGACATATAATTGAAATATAGCCTGCCTCCAAAATGAATTGGGCAGCCCTGGTGTTGTAGAAGATATACACTACCATGATACACGGACACTCCCCATCCCTCCCAAGTTTTTCAGCTTGATACTTTCTGATAAACATAGCAATGGTAGGTTAAAATAACCAAACATATAATATGATTTTCATTTTAATGTTCATCCTTCTTACTTTTTTCCTAGATAGCAATATAAGTGAGTTCCAAATTGATTACAATAACTGGATTCTGCTGTATATAATTAAATTTCTATTATTTACAATTGCATCTATTGTATAATAATTAAAAACATAGATTTACCAAATTCATATTTAATACACTTGACTAAAGAATTTAAACAATATATAAGCAAGTTCGAGGGAAATTTATTTTTTCTCGACTTTATCCATTGCTCCATCACTTCTTCAAAACTATCGGCATTCTTTAATGAAGATAACTATTAAAATAATTTTAAATATTACTGTTAACCTTCTGTTTTATATTTATAATTTAAAACATTAACAATAAAATTTATTTAAGCTTACTTTTTTAGTTTTTAAAAGGAAATAGTAATATTTTATAGCTCCAAAACCAATATTTAGTTGATTCTCCTGTTTAGCTTCGTGCTTTATCAGGAACTCATAAACCAGAGCAATAATTATATTCAAAGGCAACTCTTTTGCCTTCAGATATGATGCTGTTTTTGTGAGATTAATCTTGAATGTTAAAAAAAAATTATTATTTTTAATAGAAAATTATATAGAATAGTATAAAATATTTTAAACTACTTAAATTAAATTGTATTATGGTAGAACCCCAATTATTCAATGTTATGTGAACCAATGCTACCTTGGATAACTGGAATCTTTGATAAAAGTGGATGGCCGTGGATTAAAAATGGATGGATTTTGGATAAAAAAATTACAAATGTGAAGAATGTAGACTTTCTTTCAAACACTTTCCTCCCTGGGGGCATTAACAGGGCCATTTTAACAAGCCCATTACGGATACATATACCAACCCAATGTGCATATGTAACAAGTTTACAACCACTGGATTATATCAGGCTATAATATCACAATTATTTTAAATTAATTACTAAATAATTTGTCACTAGAGGGAGGAGTAAGGTGCCACCTCTTATTAGGTTTAATAATTATAATTAAATTAAATAATTTAGACAATTCTGAAAGAAAGGAATTGGCATTTATTATTATTTTATTTAATTTAATTATTAAATCTAATAAGAGATGGTGCCTAATGCCTTCCTCTAGTGACAAATTATTTAGTAATTAATTTAAAATAATCATGATATACTAGCCCAATATAGTCTAGTAGTTGTTGGCTTGCCCATTATGGATTCGGCCAAGCCTGTAATGGGCCAGCCAGATGGCATATCGGGACAGACCACCCCTGAAAAATTCCTGGGATTTCTTTCACATTAAAAGTTTAGCAATAAAAGGTAACAGAAAGGTAGTGTGTTCATTCACAAGTTAGCTGCAGATAATGCAAAATCTCAATTAACTGGGGTTCTATTATACATAAAAATTACTACAATTTTAAAACAAAATCTTTCATTAAAGTTAATGACTTAAGTTACAGTCAAAATACAAGGTGCATTCAAGTTATAATGCTTCCGATTTTTTTTCTCAGGACTGGAAACAGATAGAAACATGCAGTTTGTTTTAAAATATGTGTGCACTCGTGAATGTGTGACAGAGATGGTAGCACTGTATGGCACAGAACTTTAATGGCAGCGGCGAGAGCGAGGACTGTTTTTGATACTTAAAATGGTGATGTTTTTATTACAAAAATAGTGTGTAATCATTTGTTTTCTCCTTTGAGTGGTGTGACACCGATTGAAATTCATCGCCAGTTGAGTGAGACATTTGATGATGGTGTCATGGATGTGTCTAATGTGTGTTTGTGAATGCAACAGTTCAAAGAAGTCAGAATGTCGTGTGACAATAAACCAAGACAATCTTGGCCTTGCACCAGCCGGTCTGACGACATGATCAAGCGAGTGGAGAAAGTTGTTTTGGAGGATTGCTGAATGAGTGTGGAACACATTGTTTCCAAAGTTGGCATTTCTGTGGAATCCTGCATGATGACTTGCATGCAGGATTCCACATGACAATCCTGCATGAAAGACCTGAAAAGACCAGCACATCAGGAGAACATGATGCTGCAGTTACTTTGTGACAACAACTTTGAAGTGATTTCTCATGCTCCCTACTCACCTGACCTGGCTCCTAGCGACTTTTGGCTGTTTCCAACAATGAAAGACACTCTCTGTAGTCACACATTCACTAGCTGTGCTGCTATTGCATTAGCGATTTTTCAGTGGTCAAATCAGACTCCTGAAGAAGCATTCACAGCGGTAATGGAATCATGGTGTTGATGTTGTGAAAAGTGTGTATGGCTGCAGGGAGATTATGTCAAGAAGTGATACAAGTTTCAAAGTTTTCATATGATTAGATTGTGAGGAAAAAAAAATCAGAGGTGCACCACGTATATGCAAATATTTTTATTAACATTATATTTCACCCATTATAGGTTAATCTGATCCTTCGACACAGATAAACAATTAAAAGAAGCAACTTGGCTCAATTAACCAAGACAAATTACAAGAATATGGTTCAGATTCAAATCAAAATCATATGTCTGACCATCAGCTAACAGATTTTAATTTCTTATTTTCAATTATGATTATAAAAGTAACTTTTGAAACATTGATAATTTCATATATTTAAAATCCATTCATAAAATTAAAGGTGTTATTGCTCAATATACCAAAAATTCGAACTGAAAGACATTCGATTTATGTTTATATTCATTTGCCTTTCTAACTACATTCACACAAACTAATGTGTTTTAACGAATTCCACTTAACTGCAAAATAGTTTTCTAGAACATATCTTTATGTATGAAAGCCAAACATTCTATATTTTATAAAGTGTAAAATTAAGTATTGTAACTATCTACAAATTTACATAGGAAGACAACAATTGTATTCAAATTATCAAAAAATCCAGCAATGAGTTTTATAACTTTCCTGGCAAAAGAACACTATGACACTACCTCAAATTTAAAAACTGTGTGCAGTGATATCTGTTACTAGATTTTATTTTAAAAATAATTTTTATATTATTAATTATAATGAAAAGGCAGAAAGAAATCTGAGGGTAGAGATGAGTTTTTAAAAATATTGTAAATGCCGATAATGATTAAAATTTGCATTAAGTCCAACCCACCCAAAATATGATGTGTGACTCTCTTCTCTCTCTACCTTCTTGAATCTTATCCACCGAAATTTAATAGTATCAACACCCCCTTATATACAAGTTATGCCATATTTTGTTTATTAATCTTTACCTAGACACAGTAAACAAACTAGATTCCAACACACCCACACATTCACAAAATTTTTTCCCACTTAATTTGAATTTTTGGTTTCAGGTGTCTCAAAATGTCGAAATTTGCAAAAACCAGGAGACTTGAATTTGACACATTCCAATACTTTCTGTGTTATATACATAACAACCAGAAAAGTAAAATGGATTTTGAATAAAGTATGTAGTAAAACTGTCCTTTATTATCAAAGGGTAAAATCAATCTTTAATCCAGCAGTTAGTTATAATTAAATAACTGATAAAATGCAGCTGAAAATGTTTGTCATCTTCAGATAAAAGCATAAAACTAAAGAAAATAAATGAGCATAGAATATATCATACATGTGAATTCAAATTATAATTAAATAATAACCTTTAATCTAGCAATTACTCTATTCTGTTAACACAATTAGTATGTCAGTGTGAGTCATTAGTAAGATTAGTAAGACATTTATTAGCTGTAAAATTAACTGATAGACAAAAAACAAATTTTTCTGTATTCTTTTAAACACAGAGAGATATCCTGATGTTTTGTTTTTGGTTGAGTTACAAGTACTACTAATACAGGGTCTTTCAAAAGTAATTATATTAATTGTCATCCAAGAACATTGTAGTGTAAATCAGAATATTGGAAAACTGCTCATTACATTCTCAATCTGCCCCTCATGTTGCATGAAACATCCAACTAATACTTAAATTCTTTCTACACTCTTTACAGCACATCAATTGTCACTTCTCCCACAGCAGCCAAAATTCTACAGTTTTTCTTCAGATTACTTGTATTGCTCAATGACAAGTGATTCTACAGTTCTAAATTTTGTGAACTGCAGAATACAAATCATCATCTCTATTGCAGAGTCCCCATTTTCGTTTATGATGCTTCCTAGAGGTAGTAGATGACAAAACATTTGAATGCAGAAGAAACTCAGACAGTTACTGTATCAATTAGTGTACACTGCATATTTCTTATATAATTAACATAATTACAGCAATTTAAAATGGTATCACTCAGTTAGGAAGACCCTATATATTCTCCTGCAGAATAGCAACATGTCGGTAATGTATGACTTAAATGCTTTTTAAAAATAATAAATTTTATTAGATAAACATCAACAAATTAAAGTTCTTTAATTTTTATACAATTTTGTAAATAAATTTCTTACCAAAATTTTCCACTGTTGTGTTTCCATTCTTAATAGTGATTGACCAATCATTTCTATTATTTTGCAGTTTAAATATACAATATTTTGTAAATTTTTCTCTTCCATCATCTTATTTATAGTATCTACAGGAACTAAATTAAAAAAGGTATATAAAACTTTCGTAAAAAATATTTCAAATAGTACAAATTAAATTATTTTTAACATTTACCTGCGGCATCTAATAATAATGAGTAATTTTTATTTATATGCGATGTTAATATGGATTTTACAATTTTCAAATCCTTTGAATTTCTTGATATGAGATGTGAAAAAATAACTGCTAAAAACTGTACTTTATTTTCAAACTGATGATTGCATAAGAGTTCCATTGCTTTATTTTGAACTTTAAACCTGAAATAACAACAAAATCAACTATAATCTCTCTTAAAATTAATATGATAAACTTAAATACTAATTGAGTGATTGATTAATTGAATTAACACAAATCTGCTGCAATTTTGCCCATTCTGGGCAAACCTGAACAACAATGTCATCATCTAGCAAGGGTTAGAAATGGAAGGCTGTGATCTGATAATATGGCAAGTGCACCACATGGNTTACATTCAATGTAATAAAGTACAATCAATATATTACAAAACATTAAGTATTCTATTAAATTTACTATTAAGGATCAATTATACTTTAAAAATCTTTCTCACCGTTTCCAGGGAAAGTACTAAATACACAATTTCGGGATGTCTATCTTCCAATCTTGATCCCATTCTGGGCAAACCTGAACAACAATGTCATCATCTAGCAAGGGTTAGAAATGGAAGGCTGTGATCTGATAATATGGCAAGTGCACCACATGGGTATTATGCCAAGAGGTGCTATGTCTCGAGAGGACTCTATGGAAAACTGGCCCCTATTTGGGTGTTAAACATGAAAGGAACCATGAAAACTTAATGGGGTCAGTCCATATTGCAACTGAATCTTTTGCAAATACAAATCAGAAAGTGATGAAGCAGACTTCTGGTGATAAAAAAGTATTGTTATAAAACTATAAAGCATATTTAGAAGAGCATATAACAAATTGTTCTTTATAGTGATAAGTAGTTACTCAATAAAATAAATGGAAAAAAAAAAATATGAGCCTTCTACAGCAGGAAATCTGGGATTTACAATATTCCTCAATATCAAGGATAAGCAATGCTTAAAAGCATGGAAGGTTACTGCTAAATGAGCATTTTAAGCAGTACATAATTATGAAATACATATTTTTATATTTTATAACTAGTTTTTTTTATATTAAATTTCTTGCTTTACCTCTAACTGCTAATTTGAATTATCCTATATAAACACTACCTCAAATTTAAAAACTGTGTGCAGTGATATCTGTTACGAGATTTTATTTAAAAAATAATTTTTATATTATTAATTATAATGAAAAGGCAGAAAGAAATCTGAGGGTAGAGATGAGTTTTTAAAAATATTGTAAATGCCGATAATGATTAAAATTTGCATTAAGTCCAACCCNATATATATATATATAAAATAATAATAAAAAGTAAGAATTAATAGATCAATTGTTTAATAATAATCATTTAGGATAAAATTAAAATTTATTCCACATTTTTATATGTTGACATGTTTGCTCCCGGCAACACCTTGGAGTGGTCTAAATTGCAACATCGCACATGCCGACCCCTCTCGTAAGCATCACAAAAATTTGCTATGTTTCTCCCACAGAAAACTTTACTAATTGATTTTAAGAAAAAAGTTTTTCTATTATTTACTGTTTAGTTCTAAGAATATATTTTATCCATTGGTTTTGTATTATTATTTTGTTTATTAACTTTAAATTGGTACAGCACTTCCTTCTATCATATTATGCTTAATTACACAGCTAGATGCATCACTTCCTATGGGGGCAGTGAACATGTTAAACTATAAGAATTGCTTTTAAAATAAAATTTTAAAACTTACCAATCAGAATTTTCTTCATCTTTGTTAAATAAATCAACAAATATCCTAAAAACCACATCTTCAGAAACAATTTCAAACAAATTCTGTTCGGGGAAAAATCTTCAAATTAATATGACAAATAAATTTTAACAAACAATTGCTATCATTTTGTAATTATTAAGTAAACTGAAATGTTATTTGTTAACTTTACTCACATAATTAAAAATTTTAATGAAAATATAGTGTAAGTATTGGCCTTTTAGTGAAAAGGGAACAAAAGAAGCGCAACCTTGTCAATTGGACCCACAAGCAATTGGGCAATATACCACTTGTAAACAGACGAAAAACAAAAAAAGTGTCGGCTTTGTCAATTGGACCAACTGTGACCAGATTATAGACCATTTGCCATACGGTAAACTACTGAATGTAAACAAGTGGCAGACGTTTATGTAAGCTCCACTCTTGTCGGATGTTGGCAAACATGAGTGTAAGCTGTTTGGGCAAGAAAGGGTTGTGATTGGTCGTAAGTCCCCATCCAAAAAATCCTTAAATTGCGGGGCAAACGGGAGAGGAGAGAGAAGGGCAAGAGACTGGTACACAGTAGTCTCAGGCACTTGGGAAGTCTGCTCAACATAAAGATTGTTCTCCTCTGGTAAACATCTCAGGGACGGGTTTAGTGCGAAGACTAGACTGATCGTGCAGTTGAGCTAACTTCACAAGCTGACTGAGGCCTCTCCATAGTTTAATAGTTCCCAGAAGCCAATCTAGTTCATGAGGCATCACGCTTTGTTATCCTGTATATACTATGTTTTTGAACTTGTACACTATATCGAATCGTGATATACACAAAAACCAACTCAACGAGACAGAGTTTGGAAAAGAACTTCATTAGATCTTCACTTATAGGATAGACCAAAAGTCAGTTTACTTGTTTCGTTTTGCATGTTCTCTTGTGAATAGAAACCATATATTAAATTAAATATGCATCTAGCCCAAAGTTAACCGTATATTAAATGGTTATGGTTATAATTAAAAAAACTTAATATAATAAGCCTTTTAATTATGGCCATAACTGATAGGCTAACCTTATTAATATGTAAAATTTCGACTATAAATTCGACTATCTTCTATTATCAGAACTTATTATACTGGTTTTACAGATAATATTACAAAGATTAACAGAAAACAATTTTTATTTTATTTCGTATACCTGTGATAGGCTAACCATTTAATGTACAGATATCATAAACTAAGTTTAGAACAATGTCTTTTCCATTTGCAAAACTGGAGGAAAGACAATAAAATAATATATAATGATTAAAAACACATTTATTGGAAAAATATCCTGTCATGGAACCTTCCGAACTGTTAATCATTGCAACAATTAACTAATTTTTGGATTGCACCATGAACAACTTGATGCTTGATAGTGTGCATTCAGCCATTCTACAGCCATATTGTGCAAACATGCCTCAATATGCACAATGGTCATTTTGAGCATCTTTCTATATAAGCTTCATGTCATATGCAAGTATTAATGCTCATGTTTCCAATAAGCTTTATTTTCCATGCACCATCAAGTGTGACATCATACTTTTTCTTTCACATTTTTCTCAAAAACTATGGGTCATAGAGGTATGTATGTATTTGATTTTTAATTCATTACATTCAATGTAATAAAGTACAATCAATATATTACAAAACATTAAGTATTCTATTAAATTTACTATTAAGGATCAATTATACTTTAAAAATCTTTCTCACCATTTCCAGGGAAAGTACTAAATACACAATTTCGGGATGTCTATCTTCCAATCTTGATATGATGGTATTTTTTATAAAGTTTTCATCCGTTAGCTGAAACAAATGAAAATACTAATTAATATGAAAAAAAAATAATAATAATATCTGCAATGAAAAGATATGATTTAGCATAATATTATAATTCAAAGTTTAAAGGAAGGAGGAGTAACTAGCAAAACAATATTGTGAAATTAAGTTCAGTTATTTTTATATACGTCATGTGTTGTAAACTGCCTTCTTCCACCACCATACCAAAGAATGGTAATCTCTTGAATCATTTACCATGGGAGAGAGAGACATTTACTTCCTTCATCCACACCACTAACTCAATAACTCAAATTTTATGAAAACGTCAGTTGCTTCATTTTTGAATGAAACAAATCTAATCTTAAAACACTCTTGCTCTCTTTTTTTCTTTTGTTAAATAATTTGAAATATAAAGTTAAATTAATAGTTTTTGAATGGAACATCAAATAATAGGTGGTATCTCATCAAATTTTGTCAAATTATATAATACTTATCATTGTTATTTGATAAGCTGCCCTCGGTACATGATGGTTATATGACTAGAGTCATTTTCATTCATTTCAGGAAGGACAAAACTACAATGAAGTGAGAAATGGAAAATATTATCCAGACTAAAATACTTCCTAACATTCTAGTTTGATTCCAAACCTGGAGAGGGTCTGATGATTGGACAGTTTTGTCACAAAAAATGTTATATCTCAGAATAAATTGTACCCATTCAATTATTCTGGCATTCAGTCTTCTATGCACAACCATTTACAGCAGCAAAAAAGGTTTATTAAACTGAATAACTAACAGTTTGGTCATACAATCAACAATTGAACATTTTCCAATGAATAAGATTGATCATTGAAACAAAAACCCAATGAAAGTCGTTAAATACTAATAATAAAGTTTAATAAACCTTTCTTGCTGCTATACAAGCTTGTGTGAAGATGATTGAGTGATATTCTGTCACAGTTTAAGAATTATTCTAGCATTTGTGTTCTACTTATTCCTTATAGACTCAGTTAACAGTTATACTTCAAATAAAATTTAGAAATAATTACTTATAAGCTAATTTCCAACTTGACATTTTTCTATTTAATTCTTTAATTCAATTCAATTATTATTTTTTCAATTCTTTGAACAAACATTAAATACATTAATGATTCAAGAAATTGTAAACTTTATAATCTTTGTACTGTCAACTGTAGATAAAAGTAAAAATGCCAAAAAAACATTTAAATTGCAACTAATTTTACAAACCCTTTGGATTATTTCATTAGAAATTTTAATGCACAGCTATTCAGAGATAAATGGAGATTACTAATTTTTTTAAATTTGATGGTAAAATAATTAATCTTATAGCTTATAACAACTTACTTCTTTTTGTATGACTTTCTGAACAAATGTCTTTGTCGATACGATTCTAATAAAATCAGTCGGATGATTTACACCTAAAAACAAACTAACATTCGTGTCGGACGATATCTCGTGTTTAGAATTAGAAAGCGACAAATTTAAAATTTTCTGGATTAAACGACATTTTTTAGGCATTTTCTGAACATATTTTTCTAATACTTCTTCAATACTGTCGGGATATCTATATAAAATCAAGACGTAAAATTATTTATATTTATAAAATAACAATAAAAACATCAAATTTAATATAATAATCTCAACAAAATACCATTAATGTATCATAAATTCATTAGCATTATAAAATAAATAAAGTAAATTTAAAACACTAAAAGTACAATAAACACTAAACACAGAGTGGTCATATTTATACAAGTTGTGTGCACATAAACAAAGACTCACACAAATTAAGACTTGCTATAATTACAAGTGCTGCTCTACTTACGAGCATTCAACTTACAAACAATTTGACCATATGTCTAAAACTTACATTTTGTGTGGATTATCAAGTTCTTGTTGTTCATGGGATAGTACTATAGTTGGTCTTTGGCCAATAATAAATAATTGATGTGCTCTTTTTTTCATTTTTGAGCAAAATCTGAGGTTACATTGCCATTTGTGAGGTGGCATTGAAGCATTTTTTGCAATTTTTATAAACTTTTATGATTAGTGCTTCAAAAATGCATCCAAAACATAACAGTAAATCTAGCAGGAAAGTTAAATATACAAAGTGTTGCTCTATTGAACTGACTCATGAAAACTAAACTGGGTATTATAAAACTATGTGCATTAGGTAAAAAAACCAGCATTTAAAACAACTGCTACTAAGCCATAGTGAGCAGATAAATGAGAGTAATGTATTCCATTAAGTACACTGGAGGATTGAACACTACCAATAATTGATTACTCTGTGTACAAATGTACTTTCTACATTAGTTTTGATTTACAACAAAACCTCAGAAACCTAACATGTTCATAATAGATAAATAGCTATATATATAAACCATGGGTCTTGAAAAATGTTTATCTGAAAATCAAAATGAAAGGACTTTCTCATCTTTTAGTACATGGGTTTGTTTAATTTCTAGTATGGAGTCAACAGAGGATAAATCTATATTTATAAAATTTAAAATTTAAAAAGTTAATAATAATTAAATTGCAAGGTACAGCATTTAATATTTTAATTCTACAAATCATTACTACAATTCATTTACAGTGCAAATGTAACAATGTTTTGGAAAAATTAAGCTATTATTTATTTATTTATTCTGCTTGTGTTTTATTTTATTTTTTTATGTGTTTGTGGTATTTTATATTATTTTAATCCGTAATTTTATTTTTATTTTCCTTCTAACCATTACCAAACTGTTCTTACACCGTGTGTTTAAATTGGGCATCCTATTTGTATTCTATTCAAAGAATCCCGATGTCTGACTGTTCATGCAGCCATTTTCAACTGCACAATGGTTAAAAACGTTTAAAAAATAACCAGCAATTATTTATGGTGACATTGTGATAATGCCAGGCTGCAATTTTCCATCACAATACTCTTAATTTTAGTAGACTTGCCCCTGTACATCTTACTTTTCCTGTTAACAATGGAATCATGCCAGTCATCCATGTAGCTTCGTTCAGGAAAAACTTTTTGAACTGAAATAATATGAATTCTGGTCCAAACCAGATGTTCATATGTAGTTAATAGGGGCCTCCTGTCCCTAAGCTATCCATATCTGGTTTCGACTTTCTTCTATCTACTTCTGTTCTCAATATTAAGGAAGGGCAGACAAACAGACGAACTGCCAGTGAAAATTTATGGGTCTACAATTTTTGAAAATTGATATTCTACTCACCTTTTCTCTAAATATGCTAAAATAGAGCTTGTTTTATTTCGAAACAATTTCATTTTTATTGATTTCTTCTTTGTTTTTAACTTGTTCATTTTTCTTTGTTGCATTAATAGTAACCTAAAATTGAATTAAAATATTATATAATTAATTTATTTATTTATAACAACATTAAATAAAAATTAAAATATTATAATAATATACTTTTTTAAATCAATATTATACAGGATAAAGTATTTGAATAAGAATACAAATATCTTATAGTAAATTAAATTGATTGATTAGCTAAAATGAGATTTGGTATATTAATACAGTCATAATTAAGCTCTTTACAGACAGGGATGACTTATATTGTTATTATTCTATATAACTTATATAGTAATTTTTGAAAGCCACACTCAATAAGGAGTAATATTTCGTATAGAGATATGTGTTTTGGGCATTTTTTGCCCGTCTTCAGTCCAATTTCTTAAGAAGTTCCTAATTAACATCAATTCAATATAATATTTTATAACATTCTGATTCTTTTCATACATTATGGTTTATAGTAGCACTATTTCTGTCACTTTCTTTGTTTTCTATTATGACATTTAATCAAGTCATCAAGATAATAAACTCACGCCATAAATTACTCTGGCAACTTAATATTCAATTAGCAATAATGTTTTTGACTTAATTTGATAGGTCTTCATCAGTTGTCAAACACAAAACGATTATTGGACAAGCAAATTTTAAACTAAATAGAACATATAAAGTGATTTCCATGCTGTTGATAAATTGCCTGCATCAATGCAATTGTTATTTCTGTTATCCTTGTAAATTTCTATTACTTCCAAGTGTGTAAGGTGATTAAGATCACTCTTTGGTCTAATAATCCAGCGTTTCTTTATGCAGCGCTCGAGAAGCGCTTTACAGCGAACACACTAAAACTGGTTTCTAGTTGGCCAACACTGCTCATGACACTCTCGCTGCATAAAGAAATGGGGGGAATCTTAGCTTCATCCCAATTTTCCTCTACCTCATGCTGGTTAACAAATGCTGACAGAATTGTATTGTACAGTCCATTGTTCATTGCATATTTATGGTCTTTAATTCTGTAAGGACGGTTACACCTTACAAAATTAAGAAAATAAGAATGAGTTTATTACCTTGACATCTTCCTCCAGTTATTCAGTAATGCCATTAACCAAGACAGTTATAAAAAAGTTAAAATACACATAAAAGTACTATAAAATACACATCAAGTTACTAAAATGCCTTGTCAGTTTTTACAAAATTATTTCTATCCTGCAGTGATGAAAAGTTGCATGCATATTCTGTCTACTTATGTTAAGTTATGGTGATGTAATAAGTCTACAGAGATCATATTATTTAAATTAAATTATCATTCATTAGAAAATTTATTCAACTCCATTAAAATGGATATTTATAAAACTTAAAAAAATTGTTTTTATAATATTCAAAATCATACTTAGATTCAATTAAATTTGGATTATTAAAGTTAAACTCTTTATTTAAATGATGCTAAATATAAGTATTCATCAATATTTAAAACATTTAATATCTGATAGTATATAATATTCTTTATAGTAATTAATTACTTCAACTCAAAATCATATAACAACATACTTTACTGGGGTAAAAAAATCAACATTTAATATCTTTCCAAGTAGTTTTGAGCCAACTATATCTATTTTCAAAGAAACTCAATACTAAAAAACAGTCCATAGGACATAAATTTTTTAAAATGTGTTCTAAGAATTGTTTTTTAATAGTAAGTTCCTTGAATATTAGCTTATTTGAGTAATGTTATATATTGATTTCTGACTTCAATAAAGTGTGTTTCTTGTGAGCATGTGAAAATTTGATTTTTTTTCTTCTTAAAATCTATAACGTTGTTACCTTAGCTAAGATAATATATTTTATATTTACATTCTACAAAATTAACAATAGTACTAAAAAAACAACATACTTTCCACATTCTAAGACAGCAGCTTTCGGTAATTCTATTGTGTCTAAAAAAGACTTGAGAAATTCAAATAGTGATTTTTTCTTGCATATTCTAGTTTTGATAACATTTTCTTTTAAAGCAGAAGGAATTAACTTTTGAAGTATAGGAACTATAATTCTTATTAAATCATATCTTTTTGACATACTTTCAAATGCATCCAAGAAGTGTGAATTATTCTTAATGTCAAACAGAGCTCTGAAAAATTCAAAATACACATCATTAAAAATTAATACATTATATAAGAAATATCAAACAATTATTGTAAATAAATTACAAGGTTTCGCAATTAGATTCCATATAACTATAAGGAAGCAAAACTCAATCTGTCCATGGAAGCTGAGTTATCTCTTTGTTCCAATCTACAAAATCATTGTTTATAGCAGTGTTTTTCAACCTTTTTCTCATTGCACAACATTAAAATTATTGATAATTTTATGTTGACCAAGTAATATTATATGTAACTATAAATTATGCTTATTTTTTAAGCTTATATATACTTATATAGTGTTACTGTACATAACAAAGTAAGTACAGTAACTCTGGATTACTATTTAAATGCCACCTATAATCAACTGCATCCACTTCAGTACAGTCAAATATTTTTCTGTGCACCAGCAGTCGAAAAACACTGGTTTATAGTGACAAAAGCAAAATTTTATTGTAGAGAGGATAAAAATGCAACCAAAACTCATAATCCAACAAACTAAATACAGTATTAATTAGGGTTTTTCATGAGTTTTTGAGAGATTTCACGATAATTACAAGAATATTGATGCTAAACACTGGAAATAATCAACATCAATTTGAAATTTATAAATGTTCAAAATACTTCACCACCTGATGTTGTACAATTGTTAAATAACTGTTCAGGTGGAAAGAAAAATGTTTGATTAAAGGAACTCAAAAGCCAGATAGCCAAGATAATTAAGACTCTGGGGAACATGGGATCGAATCTAGATGGTCAAAAAACCTTAGGAATTATTCAGGGAATCAGTCTTGGATACATTAGTTTGAACAAAACATTTTTAACATCTTTATGAAATGAAGAATAACAGGCAGTATCTTGAGATAATTTGAAGTGTTACTTTTCTTCATTAAAAATGCCTAAAATTCTAGCCTGAATCTCTCAGATGCTTTTGTTACCTTGGCATCTACTAATCTTAGAGACAAAACAAGACAATTTTGAAGAATCATTTACAGTACTAAACTACGCAGTTATGTTTTCAAGTCATTTATATAACCTGTTGGTTCTTCAACAAATTTTTAATTCTTTAATAAATAAAAATTGATAAAGTTAAAGAAATTTTGCAGGATTACTATTATTACTTTTAAAATGAGCTTTAAGAAACAAAAGGTTTTAAATTTAATTAGAATATACTTACTTCATAGGAAAAGTTTTTATTTGTTGGTGTTGATAAATATTTAAAAGGCACAAAATTCCTACTTTCATTATTTTAGGAAATAAATTCTGAAACAAAAATAGTTTATACGTGTTAATTTATAACAATTAAAATAAATAGATATACAGAATGCATAAAAAATTCCTTATATATCCACTTAACTGACAAATGTAGATAGTCCCTTTACTATATACATCATGCCGGTAACTGTGACTAAGTGCAACAAGACAAGACCATTCTCAATACTCCTAATAGTAAAATTTGAAACTGTGTGTTCCTTTCTCAACAATTATACACAATATGGAAAAAAGTCAATTACTAAAGTTGTAGAGCATGTCTAATTTAGCATGAAAGGACACCATGCATACATGAATAGTGTGGATAGCAAATGTGAAAGACTACTTTATTGGTGATTTCTGTCAATGTTATTTCACAAAGCAGCAATTTGTGAGAAATCAGGAAAGAATAAGAAGTACATATTTGTATGCCCTTGTTGCTCATTGGAATAATTCATCACATATATATGTAATGCATGATTTCACTTCCCATGCTTTTGTCACTTTACTGTAACTAGCTCATTCGTCAGTTACATGGGTGTATAAGGACTTAATTATTCACTTACAAAGAAACAGTTTCAAAATATCATACCTTGGTAATTCTCGTAACAATCTCTGCTAATAATTCTTCTTGAATGGTACATTTTCCAATTAATTGATAAATAATGAAATAAGCAGAAATACAATAGTGTTTGTTTTTGGATTTTAAACCTCTTAAAATATATGGCAATAACGTCGACAAAAGAGATTCTGTTACACGATTGGCATTTGCCAATGTACCGACAACAGTCATTGCATAAAACGAAACAATTACTCTCAGATTAGAACTATTTTCACCATGGACCTAGAATAAAATAAAAATTTATATAATTTTAAGTGAAACATTATTAATATAAATTATTTACAGTATAATTCAAGATATTATTTACAATAATAAATACATAAAATCAAATTATGATTTCTGATTTTCAATTTTTTAAAATTTTATGCAGTAATCCTCCATTTATGCAAGTAATTGGTTCCACAAAAACACCGCATAATTGAAAATTGTGTAAATGGAGCTATGAAATGTGCTTATTTAGACTGTCATAAACTATAAACTAAAATTGCTCAATTGGCAAACATTACTAAAAATCCTTTTCTGGGTGCCAAAACACCATCACAAGTAGTCAAGTTGACGATTTTTCACCCAATCGGGCAGTTCTGCCATACAACTGAAGATAAAGTTATGTGTAAATTAAATTGGAAAACTTCCAAATTTGTGTAATTACAATGTTTGTACATTGTATACACTAGTACAGACAAATGTTAATTTACATTTAACACTTAAAAATTTTTAAACTGCATTAAGACAAATTCATGTAAATGGAAATACTACTCTACTTCATTTCATGGTTGTAATATCTGTTCTAATTTCTAATGAATTTTCAGAGTTAAGAACAAAGAGAAATAATTTTATTTCAAGTAAAGCACAATCAGGCAAAGAGAACACCACGAGTGTTCTCCTGTCAAAAAATCATAAAGAGCATTTTGTGATCATTTATACCCAAAATTTGTTAGAAAAAGTACATAATATGCACATTGAAGAGACGATGGCACCAAATTTTTCCCCTGCAGCTAAATTTTAAAGTAAAATGTTTTCCTGAGTATTGAAAATGCATTCTCAGGACAGTATGTGTATCAAATTTGAAAACAGTTGGCACTTTCCTATGGATAATGTACAATATGTGTCATTAATTATATTTTATTTATAGTTACTGTTACATTCAAAATTTGCTTTCATTGTGAGTCATGAACAGCATCTTTAATAAATAACATTGTTTTAAGGAAACATTAAGTAAATGTTTTATGCAATAAAAATTAATGTAAATAACTTTGATATTATTACAAAATCATCTTTTAAAGTATAGTTTTTGACACCATTGCATTCTATTTCTCACAGACAAATCAACAGATCCTTTAATAACTTCATTTAGTTAAAATGCACTTTCAATATACAAGTCTGTTCAGTCTAATATATTAGCAGTTGAAAAGAAACTAAAAGAAAAATGAGCAACTATTTATTGTGCTCATTTGATAAAATTTTTTATAATCTTTTAATTTAAAAAAAAAATATGACTTCTGGTTCAGACTGGAAGTTTGTATACAGTTAATTGGGGTGTCCAGCCCCAAATATTTCCATATCTGGTCTCAATTTTCATCTACCTAACTTTGTTCTCGAGATTAACAAAGAACAGACGGATGACAGTGGATATGTATAGGTCTGCAATTTTCAAATTGCAGACCAATTAACTAAAGTAGTATCTAAGAGCCTGCTACATGAGTTCCTGCTTGAACTACAAAATAAATTTAATTTTGTCACAAATCTAAATAATAAGGTATGTTTGTTATACAGTCTACTTTCACTTGGCAGATAGCTAACAGTTAGTCAGTTAAAGGATTTTTACTGTACAGTTGTGTTACCAAGAGCAAATGGAACCAACATGAAACTTTTGAAAGAACACATTCACGTGCTGTTGCTCTATCACTTCAAAAATGGCCAAAATGCAATAAAGACTTACGATCTCAGCTGCAAAGCATTTGTTAAAGTATTCCTGGGTGAACAAAGGTTAACCAGTTGTTGTAAATATCAAAGGGCCAATAATGCAAATGATGATGATCTGCTTTTGTTCAGTGTCGTCATTATGGAGCTGCATCCAGCCAACATCACTGTCACAAAAATCTCTATTGTAAACAACTGAATTGTTTAAACACCAAGATCAAAGAACTTCATCCAAAAATTGACAAAGTCTAATACCAACATATAAAACAAATGTGACTTTAGAGAAGATGGCTGGTCTGGACCATGCAGCTCATCCATCTTACTGTCCAGACTTGGCACTAACTTACTACCATCTATTTCACACTCTGCAGAACTATATTGCCAATATACAGTTCAATGACAATACCCAATGTTTGGGACATCCTTCAAAGAAAACCCATCATTCTATGCTCATAGAAATGAAAGTTTGCAGCAAAGGTGGACGATGTGATTGATATTGATGATTACCTACAACACTGAATTTTAATTGTTATTGACTTAATTATCAATAAAGTTTTTTCTTAAAATGTCTAAATTTTACCTTTACAATCTGGTATAAACAAGATGGAGTAGTGAGAAACAAATACAGTACACAAAAGCATAAGATGAATTTGAATGTCAGTGATAACCATAAATTATATTTGATAGATATCTGCAGTATTTAAATTCAATGAAATATAATTATATTATTTTGTTAGATAAAATATGATTCACCTAACTACAACAATTAACACACAGACATTGCTTTTAAATTAAAATCAATTGAATAAGGATGGAAAAAAGCCAAGTGTTTAATTAATAATACAATCTTGTATTCAACAGTCAATAAAATTAATTGATTAAATTGTCACCTCATATTAAACTTAATAAGTAGAAATAAATTAATTTAGAATATTCTGGTAGAAATGGAGTTCCAGTTTGATCCTGCTCTAGATCAATCTGTCTAGTCTTATGTGGGATTGATCAATTGATCCCACATAAAATCGGACATCCTTAAATGAAGCATTAGTTATGCAAGTTTCCATTATGTTTCATGAATAAAACTAAGTTTTCAGTTTGATTGCCTAATTTTATTTTGTCTCATTTGTCCCAATTTTTTCCAATATGAAGATTACAATAATTTACTCAATTGATGACGGATTGGTTTTATGTGGGATACCTTGCATGTTAGGCTTGATTTTATATGTAATTATGTCACTATGGTATAGAATCTGATCTAGGTAAATTTTGTTTATATAGACTAAAGATCATACACATTAGAATCAGAACTGATGTTGACCATATGATTTGTTAATCTGCAGAATAAATTTTAACCAAACAAAATGGGCCAGTTAACTTAGCTGGCACTTAATCCCAAAGATTTATGCTTGTGCAATGTGTTCAGAGTACTTCTGTTGGCAGTCAAAAAGCCCTATTGGTAGTAGCATCTATCTTTATGAAATGATTCTGCTTGTGGATAGTATATATATTGATGTTCAAGTGCTTGTTTATATAGTATTTGTTTATGTTTAGATTGAACTAAAAGTAGATATAAGTGTTACAATAGCTTTCATAGGTAATTTGAGACCCCTTAAACAAGTTAAAGCAGTTTTTAATGCTGATCATTTAAATACGATTATAAGATGGCTGCTATATGTCGGCTACTTTGTTTTTGACTGCCAATAGGTTAAGGTGCATTTAAAAGATTAAAATTTTAGCAACCAGTTTATATGAATTATTTTCACACTTTTCATGTTAATAAGCATATTAATTTAAAAATTTTGAAAGAAATTTTTCAATATTTCTTAAAAATATTAAGCGGAATTAACAAAATGTAAAGTTTTCATTTTAATTAAAATACTTACATTAATAGCATTAGGTACTAACTCACATATCAACTTCAAAATACTCGGTTCTGCAAAGCAGTGAGTGTATAATGTCGATCTTGGTAAAAACACACCCGCTTTCTAAAGATGAATTTAAAAATACTCATGTAAAGAGTCTGTACATCAAAGAATTTTGATAATCGTAATAATAAAACAAAATAAGTATACATTACCTGTATGGGTTTCAACCAATGCCAAGTTCCTGCTGGATTATCTAAATCTATCATTTGTAAAACTCGTGAAAAATATTTTGTTTCATGATAAGGCAAAACACAGAAGATGAGAGCATCAACATTAAACATATGTATGTGATATCTAAAATATTAAATTTACATTAAGTTTTATTTAAAATGATATAAATACATATTTATAAGTATTTTTAAAAAAATATATTTTGGTAAATGTAATTTTTTAACTTGTTCTTTTTTTGATAATCAATAATATTTAATAAATATAAAAATCAAAATATCATTGCTGGATAGAAGTAACAGACGAATTCGGTGTTAATATTTATTATTGTCACAGACTGTGAACAAAGTATAATAAACAAAACTGACCCTATATTTATTAATTATGTATAATTACAAAACAATTTGGCAAGAGACAGGCTGTCAGGGTTTTAATCTCTTGTTATATGTAATAACAAGAAATGGTAGCCTGCCTCCTGTGAAATTGCTTAGTAATTATTTAGCCTTATAGCCTGCTAAAGAATCTGACTGTTCACTTGGTTTGTGAGTTAAGTTTCATCCATCATCTTGAAATGACAAATAATAATACCTCTGCTGCTGTCGTAAAATACTGACATGGAGTAATGATGTTTTAATTGATGACAGGTTTTGCGAATATGTTTGAATGTCATTATATCTTACGACAAGAAAATATCATGATTTTAGTAACATATTTAGAAATCCAACCCCAAGTTTGCAAGAATTAATCATTATTTTAACTAATAAAAACCCATCTTCATCCAACTTACTCATAAAAATTTCTTATATTTATATGTTTACTGGTGTAACTTTTATAAAGTAAGTTTATAAGTAACCTTAATGCTATTATTTATTAAACAATTGTTTAAAAGCAAAAACAAAGCTTTAAACTCAATTCAGAATTATAAATTAATGTTTTTTCAGAAGAAAATTTTTGCTTAATAACTTTATATATACAATAACTTTTAAGAATAAATGACATTTTAATTATATTATGGTAATTTTCAAAGTTTTAATACTTTTATAAAGTATAATTATCACTTACCTACAAACTAACCATTCTAAAGCTTTATGAGCTGGACGCAAAAAGAAATGAGGTGATAATAAAATCAAAAATTCATTGATGTTTGAATCTAATTTGGCATTAACTTCTGCAGTCTGAACAGATCTTTCAAAACTTTTAGATTTTTCACTAAAAAGTAATGATTCAAATGCTTCAAACTTTCTTTGTACATTCTGAAGTGCTTTAATACCGCCAATTCCTTAAAATATATTTTAAAAAATAAATAAATAAGTAAACATTCTCTGAAAATATTCTTTATCAAATTTATTTAATTACTTAATTTAAACAGGATGTGCATAAAATCTGGAACAAATGGAAAATTCTTTTGAGTGATAGTGCTGAGCAAAGAAAGACTGAGTAAAGACAACCCTTCTTTGTAGCCAAAGACAATGGATACAGAAAAATGGCAGCCATATTCAATTTGAAACACCCAGAGAAATTACCAATAATACACAATGGGAAAACTGTTTTAAAAATTTTGGGAAACAGGATCAGTCTTTGACAAGACTCAAAGTAGGTGGCTGGTCAAACATCTCTAACAATGTATAGATAATGAGAGTGGACATGCTGAATGTTTTATAGAGGTATTTTCATTAGTATTAATGTTTTCTTACTCATTTTCCCTATTGGTTAGGTTGCAGACTTTTGTACACCCAGTATTTTAACACTATTAAATTTTAATTATTGAAACATTTTGCTTCTGCTAGATAATGATGCCAAGACACACACTATTCATGACACTAAATCTCCTCATTCTGCTTACAGTCCTGATTTGGCACCTTTGTCCTTCCATCAGTACTTCAATTAAAAAATTCCTTTGAGAATTGTACTTCCATTCTGACAAAGACAACCGAGATATCATCAAATGTTTGCTATGTTTACAAGACATATATTTCTATTATAAGGAAATCAGTTTTTATGTCCATATATTAAATTTAGATTTTTTGACTGAGGAATTGTTTTTGACTTTTAAACTAAAAATGTTTCATTAAAAACCACATAACCTCATTACAAGCTCAGTATCCATATCAAATATAGGTTCCTATTACTAAATATAAAACCGGAAAACTATCTATCAAAAATCTTATAATGGATTGGGGTTTAGTTACAGCAATACAAATGTACAGCGTGTCTCACATAAAACTGGCCCCACTCACTGATTGAATAAAACTGGGCCACCTCAAACAGCAAATTTATGCAAGTTTACATAATTTTTAAATGAAACTATGTTTTTAAACAGTTTCTTTGTCTAATTTCTTCCATTTTTCTCCAATATAAAGATTACAATAATTTACTCAACTGGTGAGCAAGGCAAGTGCTACGTGGAACAACCTGTATATTTGTAATTTGCATGAGACAAAATGCATCACTTGACCAGCAGTATCAATAATATTAACATTCTCAGAATAACATTTATTTACAACAATTTATAAAAAAACAATGGTTTTTAAAAATCTTTAAGGCTGTGCCACACATTCAGTATTAACTGATTGCCTAATAATTGTTTATTTGTCCCCTTTGATTCAACACAACATACCAACAAGAAGTAGGAAACGACAAATACTAAATATTAGATATGAGTAAATCAACCACGTAACTCAATATTGACCACATGATTGCCCAGCATTCAGCAAATATTTTGTGTATGAAACAGTCTTTAAGATATTTAAATATATTTTTATATACAGTACATTAAAATCTTACCTATCTCATAAATTTCATCTATTGATAAATTAGCAATTTCAGAAGGTTCGAATAAAAACGATTTTTTTACTCTCTCTGGAAATAATAAAGAAGTCTGAGGAACAGCTAACTTCTTTAATTGTCGAGCTAATGATGTTTCCATATTTTTCTTCCTGTAAAGTAAATTTTAAACTTGAACCAGTTTTAATATTTTAAAAGTTAATACAATATAGTACATTCTTTCATGTTATAATAAGTAGTTTACTTTAAGAGAGCTACAAAATTTCAAATAAATGATTTCATTAATGTGAAGTAGCAACAGACAGAAAAGATTTTAAATAGACTCGAGTATTTTCAAGTTTCCTTGTCATATTCGGGAGTCATATCAGATGCCGACTGCTACATATCATAACCCCTAAAGATGAGCTGAAGAAACTTGAAAATCCTAGCAACTATTTAAAACATTTTTTTGATGCTCAAATAAAACAGGAACTAAATTGTTAGTAATTAAAAATTGGAAGTTTTGGAACTATTTGCACTGACATACAAAAAGATCACCTCGTACTTACTCCAGCAAATTTAACAGAAATTACACACGTTTTCAGAAGCATTGAGAGATCATTCTCAAGTAAGAAAGCCCTTCCATACATAAATATTTAAAACAAAAAACATTCCAAACAGAATATGATGCAGTTTGAAATTTACATTATAAATTAACCGACATAAAACATTATAAGGTTTACATATGATAAATACAATGGATTAATATAAATTTTAAAATAAAAGTAAAATATTAAAAATAATGTAGGGAAAACAGTTGTCTCGTAGGTTTATGATGTAGGCCAATGTTTGAAAATTCCGCAATAAATAAATGACAAAAAACATTATTAAATTTACCAAATAAAATTACAGTATAATTTCAGTAGTACAACAATAGTTGATTTTCAAGCATTACCAGCCCAAATTGCCTAATTATAGACAAACTTCTTAATAAACTTGACTACCTTTCCACTAAAAGTGGCATGATATCGAGCCCAAGCTTGGTTCAACATTAAAGGTTGTTAAGCTTGTCATCTTAGCTACAGTATCTTTGAGAAAATATTGTGTAAATATAAAAACCAGTCCCTTGGAATTTCTCACCAAAAAATACCATACTTTCCACTAAATTTCTCATGGTTATTTCAGTTTACTATTAAATTTAGTGAAAATTCACCAACTGCTTACAGGTAACCCAATGACTGGCAAATGGTTTGATCGGTATTACTGATCAAACGTAAGTTGAACACCTAAAAGCAGTCGAACTTGTGTTTTGCTGCATCATTCACAATTAATTCCACAATGTCAATTGTTTTCATATTTAATCACATTTTTATTGTGTTTAAACTGTTAATTCATCAGACTTGTGAACTACCAATAATCCTGCAATCACCTTAATCTGACACTGCTCTCAGGTCCCATATGTCAATTGCCGAGATTGTACTGTATTTTATGTTTATTACATAATTCCTAAGGGGGATAAAAGTATTTGATTTCATTTGAATCTGTATGAATTGTGACTGAGAAAATTATCTTTATTTATATCAAATTATTTTATAAAGCAGACAATATAATAGCACTGATATTTAACTTAGCTACTAATAAATAATGTTTCAGGATTCTACACCATATCATCTTTTAGTTTTTCGTTATTATTCATCAAACCTGTATTGTTGGCTGATTAAAAACAGACATTTAACATAAAAAAGCTGCAGTTAATTAACAAAGAAACAGAAAGGACAAGATATCGATAATGNAGTACTTTTCTCTTGGAAATCCTATTTACTATATTCTAAAACTGTAAATAATGCAATTATCTTATAAAACATCAAGAAATTTGGATGTATATTAAAAATTTTTGACATTTATTAAATTAATATTATGATCACAGTTTAAGTTATCAAAAAATCTGCAGTGACATTTTAAAAAAAAAATTGATTCTTCTGTAGAAAAAAACTTATTACAAAATTCTTTTGTAATGCAAATTGATTTGCTTACTTCAATAAAAGCAAATTAAGCTCAAAATGGGAATAATTCTCAGAATGGTAAATAAATATTACAAATAATAACCGTGTATTTTATCGTGGTGATGCATCCGGGTTCGATTTCGAACCGAATTTTTTATAATTTTACACGAATAGTTTGGATCGAGGCATTTTCTAGTGTTTATTTATTATGAACTCCGGCTTTCCGACCCAACCGTCCCTCTACTTCCACTATTTTATTCGTAAAACTATACGTTTACGTCGGATCTTATCTTAAACATATTCTGACAGCAATTGTTGAATATTTCAGTAATTACATATGAAATTTCATTTAAGATCATCTTAATTCATTATATTTTATTTTTGTATTTGGAATTTTAAAATTTGTTTACAATAAAACAAGAAAAGATAACCAAATATAGAATTTAATCATGATTTGTGTGTGTGTAAATGCACTTTAGTATATGTTATAATAGGGGTATTCCCACCCCATCATCCATAATGAGCAATCTCGAAAAAACAAGACCAATTAAAGCGTTAAAGTACATTTATTTCCGTTACGGAGACTTATTACGTAAAAGTATTGTTAACAATAATCAATTTAAAAATAATTATATCGGATCGATTTTAACAGCTAGAGTCAACAACGGCAAAGATGATTTTCAAAGGGATGTTCGTTGTCGCCTCTTTCATATTAATAACTGGATACGTGCTGCAATCTTTCGTTGTCAGAAGTAATACTGTACATTACCACAATAATTCTGGATATAGAAAGGTTCTGACTTATAAATTCTCTCCATTAGCTGAGATAAATGCCTGAGCAAGAATCGCTTTTCGAGTATCTTGCCAATCTTCTCCCGGATGTCTAGAAATCCAGTCGATCGTGTTCGTGAATGAGATGAGCAACCACCAATGAATTCACCAACACTATTCACGAATGATGGAAGAAACAATCGATGAAGCTATGCATAGTTCTTGCAACCACAGTCATTAATGCGTATGGTTAAAGAAAAGTACATCCAATCGTGTTAAATTGATATAATTAAGCATGAACACGGTTTAAAATATAACGTAAACTCTATTCGTTTAAAATGTCGAGAACACTTATTACGCTTGTTCACTCGCTCGATAGGCGTTGTTCCTCTACTCTAACCATGTCGCATCTCTGCAGGGATTTTAGATAATTTAATCGTCAGGATAGCCGAGCGGTCTAAGGCGCCAGACTTGAGGGCATGGGTTCGAACCTCACTTCTGAATATGCGATTGTATAATAAGCTCATACAGTAAATAAACCAAATAGAAGATAGTTCTGCATAAATATAATCAATAAGAAATTTATAGAACGGAAATAAACACGTGAAATGTAAATGAACGTTTTACCTGATTCGATGTATGACAAATTGCAGGTGTGACGTAGGCAAGTTTGTTCCACATCCAAATGTCACGTGACTGATGACATTTATGAATAAATCATACAGTTGCGGATCGTCGGCAAACAATGTTTTTAACTTGCATACAAAGAGGAAACACTAGAAATGAATAAGTTGGCTTTTATATACATTATCGGCGAGTTTTATATTATTTTATTTATTATCACGAAGCGGTTCTTTTACCATAGTACAATCGTATGTGTTGCAGGCTTCCATATATTAAGTGAGATTAGTTTATCAACGGATAAGTAGGACGATGACTACAGTTGCAGGTGTTGGGGGTGGCACGTTAATTATTAAAATACGAAATCATTCTTCTCGTTAAACGAAATATTAATTTTAAATTTACTTGGTTTAATTATTATAAATGCATATTGTAGTCCAAGAGGACGACAAGGAAAACAAATCGTAGTAAAACAAAGATAAACGTATTGAGTGCATTATTTTTTTTTCTTGAATATTTCTCTTTACAATAAATAAATTAATTAGTAGTTTACGAAGTAATCAATGTATAAATGTATTTCTTTCAGTAATCACTTTGTCGGGAAGTGGAGAAGGTAGAAACAGAAATGTCACACTCGTTAATGTAATTCGTCCTGTACCTGTTCCTATATCTAGCTCTATGAAACGCCGTTTCATACCTGGTACCAAATTTGGTTCATTATCTCGTCCTATTCACGGAATTCTTCCTCGTTTAATACCTGGTGTTAAGTCTGGTATCTCACCAGACCCTATACGTATTCCTGGATCGTTTCCTGCACTAGGAAGAGAATAAACAGAGAGAATGTAAGAAAATTATAACAAAAATATGTCCAAAATTCAAAAAGTTATAATAAATAAAGATCAGTACCATAAATAAATAAATTCTAGATTTATTATATTAACTTGATATAACTTCCGGTACAGACCAGAAGTTTCTACATCAGTGTCTTCGGCCGTCAGCTATTCATTTAATCGTCTCTTGTCCCTGTACATCACACTCCTCGTGATAACAACGGAGTCATGCCGTTCATTTATTATCTATCAAAATTTTTACCGGAACTGCTTTATGCAGGAAATTATAATTTAAAATCACGGCACTTCCCGTCCAATCAAAAAATTCGTATATATTTAAACCCTTAGCTTCATATCTAGTCTAAATTTTCATCTAACTTCGTTCTCGAGATTAAGAACAAAGAAGAAAAAGCACGAATTTCATTATTTGAAGATTAGACTGTTTCATCACACGGCCTCTCGGTAGATCGCGCATGTTTCGCGTTGGCATAACAAATAAAAGAAATGAAATAATTTCATGCTTGTTGCGTGTTATGTTTTAATTTATAGGTGATGAAAAATGGGTATGAAATTATGGTGATGAAAAATTGTAACCGAGCTTTATTACAGAGCGAAGAACTCTCCTCAACGAAGGTCATCGCGTTAATATGTAAATAACCTATAAAAACACAGCTTTATTCTCGGAAGATAGAGGGAAAATATGCCATTTGTATATCAAATATACAAAATATAAAAGCGGCGAGGAAATAAATTAATGAGTCATTAAAAATCGAAAATATTGTTTAAAATCACAACTAACGATCCTCGGTATTTAATGAAAGGCATACACTCTTAATTTGCTAAAAACTGCCGGAAAGTTATTGTATTAACTTAAGTGAATTTATTATATTCATTTGTTACTCATATCGAATTGTCTCGTATCATACTTATCCACGTTGTCGTCATTTTACCAAATTCGTTTGCATTTTGACTACTAAATAACTGTACACAGGTTGAACAGGGGTAATTACCATTACCTGGTGTATATATACGTTAAGGCTGAAGCCCTCAAATCTGCTTGTAAGCTGGATAAAGCGCAACATTGGTAGATTGTCACTCGCTTTGACCAAAGTTAGAATTAGCCAGTAAATCCTAGTCTATGCCAGTGTTAAATATTTTCATCGGCAAATAAACCAAATGAAAAATAGTACTGTATAAATATAACAATTAAGAAATTTATAGAACAGAAATAAACACCTGGAATATAAATCAATACTTCACGTGATTCGATGTATGACAAATAGCACGTGTGACGTAGCCAAGTTTATTCTACATCCAAACATCACGTGACTGATGACATTTGTGAATAAATCATAGCGATTCGTATGGTCGCAAAGTTTGCTTTTAACTCGCTTACAAAGAGAAAACACGAGAAATGAATAAGTTCACGTTTATATTCGTCATTATCGGTGAGTTTCATTGTTTTATATTATTTTATATATTATTACAAAGTGGTTCTATTATTATCGTACAGTAATTTATACAGTAGACCTATATATTATACGTGAAAGCGGTATCGACCTCTAAGTAGACTGAAAACTGTAATTGCAGGTGTTAAAACTGGCAAATTTGTTATTAAAAAACAAACCATTCTTCTCGTTAGACGTAATTTTAGTTTAAAATTTGATTGTTTTAATTATTATTAAAACATTTCATTATCTAAGAGAACGGAATAAGAGTTAAATCGTAGTAAAACAAGTTAAACGTATTACGGCCGTTATTTTTTCTTGAAGATTTCTGTTTGCAAAAATTAAAATAATTAGTAATTTACAAAGTTATAAATACAGAACTGTATTTCTTTTAGTAATTGCTCTGTCGAGAAGAGGAGAAGGTAGAAACAGAAATGCCCAAGACCGCAGTTCCATTTACGATGTGCTAAAGTTAAATAGAAGAAGTAACATTGTTAGCGGTGCATTACGCCGTATAACTGATAATATTCCAACCAGTAAATCTACTATTAAAGCACCTACTGTTATACCTGCCATTAAACCCGATGATGTACCTGTTGAAATCGTAAATCAACTTCCACCTGATGAAGTTGTAATTCAACCTCCATCTGTTATTGTAATTATTCCAGGACCTGTACTATATAAAGTGAGGAATTTTCTTCAATAGGGTAATCCTTTCCATCCATATGTAAAAAGACTAGAATCGCTCACAGGTCAGGGAAAATTTGATTAAAAGTTTACCTGACTAATAAGTTAATTTTCGGTGTTTCTGGATGATATTTCTTAATTGTTTATACGGAATTATGTAGATCCAGCATTGTTAATTACTTATGGCTTTTGCACTTTCATTTAATAAATAAATTTTTCTTTTTCTAACATTTCTCTCTTAAGTGCTGGAAATTCTCCCACTTTACTTGAACCCCAACCCGCAGTCGGTACCAAATTTGGTCCCGTGTCTCGTCTTATGTTCTCGTCCCATATCCGGTGTTAAATCTGGTATCGTTTCAGACCCTATACGTTTTCCTGTATCGTATCCAACACAAGGAATAAAAAATATATAGAGAATTTAAGAAAATTATTACAAAATCGAGTCCAAAATTCCATAAATAAGAATAAAGAAAGGCCAGTACTATAAATAGAAAAGTCCTGTATTTATTATTGTATTAAAACGCATTATTTGCCAGTTACTTGTAACGCTTGATTTATTTAAAACTCTCTCTGGTATGAATGTTCAGGTGTGTTGCCCCTGTACATCGCACTTCTCCTGATAACAATAAAGTCGTACCGGTCATCCGTCATTTATCAACTTTTTCTACCGAATAGTTTTCTGAAGAAAATTTTGAATTGAAACACATCACTTCCGGTACAGTAGGGAAATCCGTATATAAACCTCCAAGCATAAGCTTTCCATATCCAGTCTCGATTTTCATTTTTCTATCTCCGTTCTGAAGACGAACAAAGAAAAGACAGACAGTTAAAATGCGCTGAAATCCCAAATTTAAATTAACACACGACACTACTAATAATTATTATTGATTTATCGGAAAATATATCCAGCAGAGGGTTTTTTGTGCAATTTGCTGTTTCATTTTTGTAGGAGGAAGTGTACAAGTAGAATAATGAATGTTTATAGACATTAATTTTACTTTCAGCCGTAATGTAGACAAATATTTAACGTATTATACGAGAAGACAATTTCAATAAGTGTGAGAATTCGAATACCCTGGTTTTATTCGATCAATTTTAAATGATTTAATATTATTTAAATTCATATTTTTATAAGTTTTGAAAGAAAAATCTTTGTTTAAACTAAAGGAAACCGCTAAACCACACTTCCTAACCGACGGAAGTTAAACATCCTTTCTCTTTTCCCTTATCTTAAAAATTCTGATCATTAAACAGAAGTTCAACCCCTCTAAAAATCCCATTCGTCCTGTTGAGGTGTTAAAAATCCTACAAGCTAATTGGTGGAGATCTCCGAATATAGCAGTTCATTTCCTTTGATCGAAGAGTTCGTCGAAGGTTTTCATAGAGCTAAGATCCTATTCAAAAGCTAACACCCATAATTCTAAAGGAGTGCATCGAAATTTTTCCATGTAAGAAGACGTATTCCATTCGAGTCTTCAAAAAGTCAATGCCTATAATCATAGAAATGTCCGTCACCATTTTCTCCGAAGAAAATGAAGCAGTATTTCTCGAGAGCCGTCGAATTTCTCAAGATGAAGAAGTAAAATTGAGGATTATCCTATCGAGAAGCTACAGTCGCCGAATAAATAACGAACTTTTCTCGACGCTTTCAACGGCAAGACATCGTTAAAATACAAAATAGCTACAAATCTGTTAAGGTAGTATAAGCTTAGAACCCCCGTAATCTTTCTCTCACGCGAGTTAGAAAGCTTTCGTATATTGTATTCTTAATTTATTTTAATCTTGTTTCATTAAATTTTTGTTATATTATTTAAATATGGTCTCATTAATGAATAAATCCAGGTCTTCGTCCACTTCACTTACTTGCGACCCTCCCATCGAGATTCCTCGAGAATGCGTGATTGTCCGTGAAATTGACTATCTGTTGTCAGGAAAAAGCATCTACAGGGGGAACTTACGAACTCCTGGTCTTAATTAAAAATTTTAGGAAGTCATCCGTGACAAAGTGTACCGATCTAACGATTGTATGCCACGTAAGTGACATAGAGTTACAGTCAACAGCTCTATGCCCTTGGCTTCTCACAGTAAGTATTGTAATCGTCTTTACACTTTGCTTTCTTGTTACTTTCCTGGCTTTTACAATAAAAACATTGTCATCGTGTCACACGTGAACCTCCGCTATTCTTATTATTCGACGTTTTCCGACTCCCGATTTCCAAAAGTTTTAAAAAGCTGACAGTTTTAAAAGAACAAAGAATAAGTAGCATAAACTTCGTTATTTGAAGATTAAACGGTTTCATCAGACGGCCTCTCCGAAGGTCGCCTATGTTTCGCGTTTGCATAACAAATAAAAAAAATGAAATAATTTCATACTTCTTTCGTATTATATTTTAATTTATAGGCGATGAAAATGGGTATGAAATTGTGGCGATAAAAAATTGTCATCGAACTTTATTATGAACTCGCCTGTAATAAAAATGTGTTTATTGCGGGTGGGCATCGCGTTAATACGTGAATTAACCTATAAAATCACAGCGTTATTATCGGAAAATAGAGGAAAAATATACAGTTTGTATATCAAGTATACAAAATATAAAAGCAGCAAAGAAATAAATTAACGAGTCATTAAAAATCGAAAATATTGTTTAAAATCACAACTAATATTCCTCGGTATTTAATCAAAGGCAAACACTCCTAATTTGCTAAAGACTGTCCAAAAGTTATTGGGTTAAGTGAATTTATTAGCTTCATTTGTTACTCATATCGAATTGTCTCGTATCATACTTATCCACGTTGTCGTCGTTTTACCAAATTCGTTTGCATTTTGACTGCTAAATAACTGTACACAGGTTGAACAGGGGTAATTACCATTACCTGGAGTATATATACGTTAAGGCTGAAGCCCTCAGATCGGCTTGTAAGCTGGATAAAGCGCAACATTGGTAGATTGTCACTCGCTTTACTCAAATGTAGAATTCGACAGTTAATCCTAGTTTATGCAAGAATTAAATATTTTTATCGGCAAATAAACCAAATGAAAATCAGTACTGTATAAATATAATAATTAAGAAATTTATAGAACGGAAATAAACACCTGTAATATAAATGAATACTTCACGTGATTCGATGTATGACAAATTGCACTTGTGACGTAGACAAGTTTGTTTCGCATCCAAATGTCACGTGACTGATGACATTTGTGAATAAATCATAGAGTTTCGGATCGTCGCAAAGGGTGCTTTTAACTCGCTTACAAAGAGGAAACACGAGAAATGAATAAGTTCACGTTTATATTCGTCATTATCGGTGAGTTTCATTGTTTTATATTATTTTATATACTATTACAAAGTGGTTCTATTATTATCGTATAATAATTTATACAGTAGGCCTACATATTATACGTGAAAGCGGTATCGACGTCTAACTAGACTGAAAACTACAATTGCAGGTGTTAAAAATGGCGAATTTGTTATTAAAATACAAACCATTCTTCTCGTTAGACGTAATTTTAGTTTAAAATTTGATTATTTTAATTATTATAGAAACATTTCGTTATCTAAGAGAACGGAATAAAAGTTAAATCGTAGTGAAATGAGATAAATGTATTAAGTCCATTATTTTTTCTCGAAGATTTCTGTTTGCAAAAATTAAAATAATTAGTAATTTACAAAGTTATAAAAGCAGAACTGTATTTGTTTCAGTAATTGCTCTGTCGAGAAGCGGAGAAGGTAGAAACAGAAATGCCCAAGACCGCAATTCCATTTACGATGTGCTAAAGTTAAATAGAAGAAGTAACATTGTTAGCGGTTCATTACGTCGTATAACTGATGATAATCCAACTACTAATGCAACTAAAACACCTACTGTTATACCTGCCATTAAATCCGTTGATGTACCTGTTGAAATCTTAAATCAACTTCCACCTGCTGAAATCGTAATTCAACCTGCACCTTTCAACGTAATTATTCCAGGAGCTATATTGTCAAGTGGAAGAATTTCCTTCAATAGGGTAATCCGATCAATCCATATGTAAAAAGATTACAATTGCTCACGTGTCAGGGAAAATTTGATTAAAAGTTTACCTGACTAATAAGTTAATTTTCGGTGTTTCTGGATGATATTTCTTAATTGTTTATACGGAATTATGTAAACCCAACATTGTTAATTATTTATGGATTTTGCACTTTCATTTAATAAATAAATTATTCTTTATTTAACATTTCTCTCTTAAGTGCTGGAAATTCCCCCACTTTACTTAAACCCAAACCCGTAATCGGTACCAAATTTAATCCAATGTCTCGTCTTATTGTCGGAATTGTTCCCGTCCTGTATCTGGTGTTAAGTCTGGTATCGTACAGTACAAGACACTATACGTTTTCCTGTATCGTATCCACCACGAGGAATAAAAAATACAAAGAGAATTTAAGAAAATTATTACAAAATTCGATAAATAAGAAGAAAGGCCAGTACTATAAATAGAAAAGTCCTAGATTTATTATTGTAATAAAACGCTTTATTTGCCAGTTACTTGCAACGTTTGATTAATAAAAAGAAAATAAATGCATGATTTTAAAAAAAATGAGGAATACATTTTATTTCAAACGTTGAAGCATAATGTGATTTTCGGTAGGGGAAATTCGTGCATCGGTGTCTTTCGTCTTAATCTTTCAAAACTTTATCCGGGTTTTTGGATATGTTGTCCCTGTATATCACACCTCTCTTGATAACAATAGAGTCATGCCGGTCATCTGTCATCTATCAAAGTTTTCTACGGAATAGTTTTCTGGAAAATATTTTGAATTGTTATCGTGTCACACACGACTCTCCGCTTTTCTTACATTTCGACGTTTTCCGATATTCCTAGTGTCAGCTTTTTAAAAGTTTTAAAAAGCTGACACCAGGAACATACAGTACGTGTAAAAATCCATTATATGTATTCTATTATCGTAGCACGTAGTGTATTACGTCACATGTACTGTACGTGAAGTTACATATTAGCTAGTATTTTCCAGTTAAACGAAGAGTTTCTTCTCTGTGTATGTGTGCGTGTATAAAACAACAATAGAAACGCGATTATCCCAAACTTAAGATTATATAGAACAGTTTTTTAAAGCTGAACGTCTAGTATTTTATTGAACACACCATACTCTGTGGTGTGTACAGTAAAATACTAGACGTTCAGCTTTAAAAAACTGTTCTATATAATCTTAAGTTTGGGATAATCGCGTTTCTATTGTTTTTTTTATATCCATAAATCTATTCCCACAATCTGGTGTGTGTACCCACCAAGTATGGAAGCGAATTGATCCCCTTTACAAATTACTATTCATGGGAATAAATTAGCAGAGTAATTTGAACTCCGTATGCAATGAAAAGTCAAAGAGATATTTAATAATCCACACCTCAGTAAATTCCATTTGTAATGAAATAAGCTTATGTATTCTTTCATTGTGAATCCCTTCTACTTGCGTATATTTTAATCCTCGGAACAATCAGACTTAATGAGGATTTTACTCGTTATTATCATTTACAATATTTAATAAGACCCATCTGTTCCATCGAAATTAAAGAATCCGAAACGTAAGTCTGGTGTTTATGTCTTTTGTTATAAATAAAGAAGTTATTCGTAAATAATAAAATCAAATTTTAATCATTTTGATTTGCCGAAACCAAGCGAAATTCGTATTCAAAATTATTCATTATAATTTTTGTTCCCGTCTGTTTTAAATGACGTCGTGACGTTCTCGATTTATTCATATTTTTTTCAAAGCGCACTTCAAACAGATCAACGAACGTCCACGCCTCTTGTCGTTTTTCGGGCGCTTTAAGAGCCCGTTCGGCGCGATCTTCTTTTGGCACACGGCACATCGAATGATTTTCGTACAAGCAGAGGTTCTCTTTTTGGAATTTTTGGCGGTCTCTTCGCACGCTGTCGTGTGCTTACGTAGTCCGGATAAGAGAGTTGTTTTCCCACACCAATGGCAACTGGAGTAATGAGTGGCCATGGATTTCTTTATTTCTGTGACTCGATCGTCTCTCTTTGTAATTCTGCATATCGGGGATTGACACATCGGACAAACTTTCCAGATTTTTCCGGCGCTCTCGATACACGTCTTGCGGTAGAGATGGCCGCGTGGCAGGGAAATTGGATCGATGTAAACATCCAGACAAATAGGACATATCGCGTGAAAAATACCTAATTCTTCCGCTGCTATTTTTTGATGCGGTTTTCCAACAATCGGCCAAATATTATTGGTCTATAATACGAATTGTTTCTATTGTTTATTCGTTCAATTATTTCGTATTCCAATCATTTTATAATTGAATTTCGATGTTGTACTTATTAAATTTACATCCTTCGTATACAAGAAATGCATTATCGTGTTCAAGTGGTTCTATTAAATGCCGTTTAGCCTAATAACGCTAACAGAATATCGTACAAATCTCTTTCATCCTGGCGGTGCACACAACAAAAACACAAAATCATAGATTTAGTATGTGTCTCTTTAATCTGAATTAGTAAAAACGGTAGACTTTCTCTCAGCTATTAGGTTAGGTACTCCTTTATTGCAAATCACAATTGCATTTCGGGCCTATATGAACCTTTCTTCAGTGTAAATGATACACATATAAAGCATAAAAAGTAAAAAATTAATTAATTTGCTAATTTTTCACTCGAAGATTTACAGACAATAAATAAATCTTTTTACATACCTCAGAAGACAGCGTAACGCTTTTCTAATTGTATGATACTCAAAATGATATTTTATATGAATGTGTTGAATGACACTATTACACAGGTACAGTACAATTAAAAACTTTGAACCCTTAAAATTTTTACTAATTCGGATTAAAGAGACACATACTAAATCTACGTATTCATCAGCTACCACACCGGATATTGAGAAGGACACAAAATCATATTTTCCTATTACTTTTCCGGCTGTTATATATGACAGGGGAAAGAAAGGCTGTCGATCAAAACACGACCCTCAAAACTTTTACATTTTGACTCGGAGAATCTTGAAACGTCGAAAAATGCAAAAAATTTCGATGTTTTTTTCCGTATGTATGAATGTTAGTGTGTGGGAGAACGAGTTTGTTCACGCTGTTTGAAGCTTAATAACTCCTGTGCTTTTTGTCGAAAATTTCTAAAAATTTTCTGACTGATAGAGAAGGTCGTGTGTATCTTCAGTAGGTTCGGACTTAAGAATGATTTTACTTCCCTACCCTCAAAATTAAGCTATTTGTCATTTTATAGTAGTTAAAACTATTATAAATGACCACCAAATGTTGCCGGAAAAATTAGACAACTCGTTGTTGGTTTTTTAATGAAGTAAAAAAGTTGACTATTTAGGGGAGACCGGGGCAAGATTGGCATGTTAAGCTTTACTTAAATTTTGTGTAATAAATACTGCTGTAAACTGAAAAAAAGCTTTGCATATTGTCTATTGGAATGTTACCTTACTATAGAACTGGTTAAAATCAGTTTGGAAATAAAAATAATTAAAATAATTACAACTTTACAAGAAGAGAGAAATTGACGAAGTTGCCCCGGGTATAGGGGCAAGATCGGCAACTTCTCTCTTTTTGTAAAGTTGTAATTATTTTAATTATTTTTATTAAAGTTGCCCCTGGTATAGGGGCAACAGTAATGGGGCAAGATAGGCACGTATATAAAATTATGTTATTAACAATGTATAAGTTGGAATTCACTATTAAAACAAAGAAATACAAATCCAACACCCATTTAATATTATTACAACGAAATGCAAGTTCAAAGACATATATACATGAATAACAAATGCAAACATGTTTTCATTTATCATCTGTTTGATTTTTATCCTTTGCTTCTAATGTGGCTTTATGTTGCCGATCTTACCCCGCTAGTCATGATTTCGAAACATTAAGTACAACCCTGAGAACAGAATGCCAAGCCACGATCTGGCCACGTGAATAAGTTGAAGTTACATCCTTCTAACAGGAAAAGTAACTTTCGTTATCATGGAATTATAACAAAACCTGCCAATTCAATATAAATGGAAAAAAAATATTATATGGAATTGAACGAAAATGAAAATTTGCTTGATAATTCAACTACGCTTGTTGGAGAACAATAAAAACACTACACTCAACAAGCCACCAATAAAACTCAACTGCCTAACCTATAACCAAAGTCTCCTTTTAATTTGTTTTTAAAAAAAAGCGCTTGACAAACTTGCCCCGCATGCCGAAGTTGCCCCGGTCTCCCCTATGTCTGTTCTGACTAGGTTTGGTTTGATGAGATACGGCAACGCAATATGTGTGCTATCTGCCAACAGGAATGCCTCCAGAGAGGACTTTCGATAGGAAACTGGCTCCTATTTTGGTGTTATGTAAAGAAAACCAGAAAAGTGTGATTGGGCCGCCTGTTGGTAGAGCGCGAACCCGCGACCCATTGCCAGTGTTTGCTGGCTTTATTCACTGGATCACTGGTGAGAGTTTTAACTAGAAACAATTAATCTATATATAGAAATGAGTGTCGTAACGGTGTAGTTCTTTGGCCGTTGAGGTAGGAGTCGTCTACAGCCACCGTATAAGGTTATATCGAAATTTACATACTTGTGCAGGCAAAGGTGGCGCAATTATTGAGCCCCGGTTCATTTCTTCTCTTTCATCCTCTCTTCCTGGAAGACAACGACTACGTTTGGTCGAATTATTAATACTTTCAATTTCCTTCCGTAAAAATCCCTGCTTTATATCGGACCATCGGTATGGTGGCATTCGTTATTTTGGTCATTTGGAGTAATAAACCCTTACGTAAGATAACCTTCGTAAATATAAATCAAATACTATAATATAATACGATAGAAGGGTCAAAAGTACGAAATAATCTAACAAACTTAATCTTTGCTGTTGTTATTTTTTGTCCGGGCCATCTGCTAGTATACAATAAGTTAGATACAGTATTTAAATACATTAATTTACATTTACGGCTGAATGTAAAATTAATGTCCGTAAATGTTAATGCAAATATTCTACTTGTACGCTTTCTCTTACAAAAACGAGACAGCAAATTGCATAAAAAATGCCTCTGTTTGATATATTCTCCGCTCAACCAATAATAACTGTTATTAGTGTCATATGTTAATTGACATTTAAATTGCAGATTTATACATTATAGTTTACGAAGTAATCAATGTATAAATGTATTTCTTTCAATAATCACTCTGTCGGGAAGTGGAGAAGATAGGAACAAAAATGTCACACTCGTTAATGTAATTCGTCCTATACTTGTTACCGTAATTCGTCTTGTACCTGTTCCTATATCTAGCACTAAACGCCGTTTCATACCTGGTACCCAAGTTGATTCGGTATCTCGTCCTATTTACGAAATTCTTCCTCGTTTAGTACCCGGTGTTCAGTCTGGTATCATACCAGACCCTACACGTACAGTACGTTTTCCTGGATCGTTTCCTGCACTAGGAAGAGAGTAAACAGAAAGAATGTAAAAAAATTTTTACAAAACTGTGTCCAAAATTAAAAAGTTATAATAAATAAAGATCAGTACAGTGAAGATCTTATTGCCGTTCCTTCCCAACTCCGTCTCGTTGAGTTGGTTTCCTGTGTATCACGACTCGGTGTAGTGAATCAAGTTCGTTGGAAAGCACACCTCCACACTCAAATTGAATATATTTACAATTTATTTACAGTTGTAAAAAGTACAAGTTAGAATGTACAGTACTACCGTCTGACTGCAGGTGGGTCCAATTAACAAAGCCGGCGTTTTCTTTGTTTTCCCTTGTTTACAAGTCAATACCTTACAAGTGGTATTACCCGACCGCACGTGGGTCCAATTGACAAGGTCGCGCCTCTTTTGTCCCCACTCTGCTAAAAGGTCACTACTTTAAAAGTACCATAAATAAATAAATTCTAGATTTATTATATTAACTTGATATAACTTCCGGTATAGACCAAAAGTTTCTACATCAGTGTCTTCGGCCGTCAGCTATTCATTTAATCGTGTGTTGTCCCTTTACATCACACTTTTCCTGATAACAACGGAGTCATGCCGTTCATTTATTAGCGAGGTTAAGGCCAAAGGTTTAAACGCGAAAACGTGTACGTCGGACGTTCAGCGCCGCTTTTTTGTAAGCCTAAAACTTTGACGATGATGTTTGGATAGTCGGTAAAATCATCCTCGACATTCCAAACGCCATCGTCAAACTTCTAGGCTTACAAAAAAGCGGCGCTGAAAGTCTTACGTACACTTTTACGCGTTGAAAACTTCCGCCTCAAACTCGTTATTATCTATCAAAATTTTCACCGGTCCAAAATCGTATATATTTAAACCCTTAGCTTCATATCTAGTCTAAATTTTCATCTAACTTCGTTCTCGAGATTAAGAACGAAGAAGAAGAAGTAGCACGAACTTCGTTATTTGAACATTGGACTGTTTCATCAAACGGCCTCTCAAAAGATCGCCCATGTTTCGCGTTGGCGTAACAAATAAAAGAAATGAAATAATTTCATGCTTGTTTCGTGTTATATTTTAATTTATAGGTGATGAAAATGGGTATGAAATTATGGTGATAAAAAAATTGTTATCGAGCTTTATTATGAACTCGCCTGTAATAAAGATGTGTTTATTACAAGTGGACATCCCGTTAATACGTAAATTAACCTATAAAATCACAGTTTTATTTTCGAAAGATACAGGAAAAATATGCCGTTTGTATATCAAATATACAAAATATAAAAGCGGCGAGGAAATAAATTAATGAGTCATTAAAAATCGAAAATATTGTTTAAAATCACAACTAATGTTCCTCGGTATTTAATGAAAGGCATACACTCTTAATTTGCTAAAAACTGTCGAAAAGTTATTGGGTTAAGTGAATTTATTAGATTCATTTGTTATTCGTATCGAATTGTCTCGTATCATACTTATCCACGTTGTCGTCATTTTACCAAATTCGTTTGCATTTTGACTGCTAAATAACTGTACGCAGATTGAAACAAGGTAATTGCCATTACTTGGTGTATATATAAATTAAGGCTGAAGCCCTCAAATCTGCTTGTAAGCTGGATAATGTGCAACATTGATATATTGTCAGTCGCTTTGCCGAAAGTTATAATTAGCCAGTAAATCCTAGTCTATGCCAGTGTTAAATATTTTCATCGGCAAATAAACCAAATGAAAAATAGTACTGTATAAATATAATAATTAAGAAATTTATAGAACGAAAATAAACACCTGGAATGTAAATGAATATTTCACGTGATTCGCTGTATGACGAATAGCACGTGTGACGTAGCCAAGTTTGTTTCGCATCCAAATGTCACGTGATTAATGACATTTGTGAATAAATCATAGAGTTTCGTACGGTCGGCAAACGATGCTTTTAACTCGCTTACAAAGAGGAAACACGAGAAATGAATAAGTTCACTGTTATATTCGTCATTATCGGTGAGTTTCATTGTTTTATATTATTTTATATATTATTACAAACTGGTTCTATCATTATCGTATAATAATTTATACGGTTAGGCCTACATATTATACGTGAAAGCAGTATCGACAACTAAGTAGGCTGAAAACTGTAATTGCAGGTGTTAAAAATGGCGAATTTGTTATTAAAAACAAACCATTCTTCTCGTTAGACGTAATTTTAGTTTAAAATTTGCTTGTTTTAATTATTATAGAAACATTTCATTATCTAAGAGAACGGAATACAAGTTAAATCGTAGTAAAACAAGTTAAACGTATTACGGCCGTTATTTTTTCTTGAAGATTTCTTTTTTGCAAAAATTAAAATAATTAGTAATTTACAAAGTTATAAATACAGAACTGTATTTCTTTCAGTAATTGCTCTGTCGAGAAGCGGAGAAGGTAGAAAGAGAAATACCCAAGACCGCAGTTCCAATTACGACCTAGTGACGTTGAATAGAAGAAGTAACGTTGTTAGCGGTGCATTACGTCGTATAACTAATCCAACTACTAAACCTAATACTAAAACACCTACTGTTATACCTGCCGATAAACCCGTTGATGTACCTGATGAAATCGTAATTCAACCTGCAACTGTTGTCGTAATTCAACCTCCATCTTTCATTGTAATTTTTCCAGGAGCTATATTGTCGAGTGGACGAATTTTCTTCGATAGGGTAATCTGATCTATCCATATGTAAAAAGATTAGAATCGCTCACGTAACAGAGAAAATTTGATTAAAAGTTTACCTGACTAATAAGTGAATTTTCGGTGTTTCTGGATGATATTTCTTAATTCTTTATACGGAATTATGTAGATCCAACATTGTTAATTACTTATGGCTTTTGCGCTTTCATTTAATAAAAAAATTTTCTTTCTCTGACATTTCTCTCTTAGGTGCTTGAAATTCTCCCACTTTACTTAAACCCCAACTCGTAGTCGGTACCAAATTTGGTCTCGTGTCTCGTCTTATTGTCGAAATTGTTCTCGTCCTGTATCTGGTTTTAAGTCTGGTATCGTACCAAACTCTATACTTTTCCTGTATCGTATCCACTACAACGCAAATAATAACCGAAGAGAATTTAAGAAAAGCATCACAAAACCGAATCACAAATTCGAAAAATAAGAATAAATAAAGGCCAGTACTATCAATAGAGAAGTAGTGAATTTATCTAAATATATAAAATTACTTGTCCTGACTGACTTAGTCACTGTTTCATCATCGCTCGGAGCAAACCGCTGAACCAAAAAAGGTGAAATTTGGTAGATATTTAGGGTACGTCATGGAAACGCACACTAAGAAGGGATTTTTCGAAATTCCCCAGCGGGGGGGAGAGAGATAGCATTAGATCAGGAGCATATCAATCCGAATAGCCTCGTGTCAATATTTTTCTTCTATATCTGTAACTGTAAAACTCTCACAGATAACTGTTAATATTGCCATGTTGTGTGAGAAGAGATGTTATTATTATTCCACTGCCAGGAAGAATTTGTGTGTGATGTGTCCTTTGTTATCGCTTTTCCATCTATCGCCCCACGTTTTGGTTGAGTCCTGCCTAAGCATGAACTTTACGGCGGCTAGCTGGCGCGTCGCAAAGAAGGTGTCCCTGTTTAAATAGGCGGAGGTAGCGAGCAGATCCGCTAATTCATTTCCTTGGCATTCCGAGTGTGATCTGACCCAAGCTAAGCGGGTGTTATTTAAAAACTGCGCTCTTCTATACAAGTTAAAGACTTCCATACTTAGTTTTGTTGTTATTTTCGGTCTCTTGACGCAAGCAATCGCGGTCTGCGAGTCGCAGCATATTAGTAGTTGTGTAGTTTCTCTCGGTGTATTAGTTTCAGACCTTCCCCGAGCGCGAGGACTTCGGCCTGTACGACTGTGCAATCGTTGTGCAGTTTGTAGTCCGAGCATTGAAGAACGCTAGAGCCTTCTAGCAAGGTAAGACCCCAACCGACGCCATTATCGCTTTTGGAGCCGTCTGTATAGAGTCTAATTGGGCGATTACTGTTGTATGTGACTATGTTCGTGTCGTGCGTGTAGGAGGGATGCGGCAGAGACCGGACCTCTGCCGGGGAGACGCAGGAAAGGCGTGACCGTCCCTCGTGAAGGAGCCGCTAGATTTGGCGAAATATAATTCTCTTTGCTTTTTTAATTAGGATATCTAAAGGTATTTTGTTTGCCAGAAGAAAGGCGGATTATTCGTCGATTAATCTTATGCAGAGTCGTCTCTGGAGTTTTAGTAATATTTCACTATTGATTTTTAAATTTAGACCTTCAGACCAGACCGGAGAAGCGTATCTCACCACAGAAACGATCGCGCCTTCGTAGATTGTGTTGGTAGCTGGAGAGCGCAAGCCCCATTTTAAAGTGGAGACTTTTTTAAGGAGAAACAGAAACCTTTCCGCTTTGCCGACCTGATCTCTGATGTGGGGAGTCCACGAAAGTTTGTTATGTACGGTAACTTCTAAGTACTTTAAGGTCGTTTTCACTTTTAGTTTTCTACCGATGAACATAAGCTTAGTTTTATCGGAGTTAAATACTAGTTTACATTGTACTGCCCAATTTTTCAGTTTACTGAGTATGGAATTAGCTTTTTTACGTAAAATTACGGGGTCATTTTCAACTAAAGTTACTAAGAGATCGTCGGCAAACGCGAAGATGTTGCTGTTACTGGGTAGCCTAATATTAAAAATTGTGTTTAGTAAAATATTCGAAAAGGTAGGACCACGGCTTGAGCAACGCCGAGACCAATATCTTTGCTAAAGACGGAATTACCATAAAATAGTGTCGCCTTCCTGTTTATAAAGTAGTTACGCGCAAGGGCGAATAAATTTTCGGGAATACACGCTCTTTTCAATTCGTGTAGTATTAAAGGGACCCACGCTTTATCGAAGGCGTTGGAGATATCAAGACTAATAAGCAAGCAAATCTTTTTATTTTTAAGGGTGTCTGACATAATATTTTTGACTTTTAATAGGGGATCTACAGTACTGTTTCCGGATCTAAAGCCGAATTGGTTTGGGTTTAAGAATTTTGATCGAGTAAGGTGGTAGTTGATGCGGTTAATAAAACGTTATTTTCGAGGGTTTTTCCTAGGATGGGGAGTAAACTTATCGGTCTAAATGCCTTCAGATTATCTAATATTTTATTTGGTTTCGGAATTAATTTGACAAAAGCTAATTTCCAAGTGTCTGGAAATTTGCCGGAGAAAGACAGATTAAATATTTTCTGGAAGGTGGTAGGAGAAATTTCATAAACGCGTTTGATTATGGCCCGGGGTTTTATTGCTTTTTAAGGCCGAAATGACTTCGTTCATTTCGAAAGGTTCGAAGGGGGTCGGGATCCTTGGAGTACTCTTTGCAAAGGTTTACCCGTATTTCTCTATAATAATTAGTGTCGTTGTTTAATGAATCGTCCAACAATATATGTTCCGCGAAGGCCAGTGCGACGCTACCGTCGTCGCAGAGAGGCACATCCACTGAATTTTTGATAGTTAATTTAGGAATATTTGTATTAGAATCTTTCTCGACGAGTTTGTATACGCGTGACCAGTGATCACGATTTCCCTCCGTTGTACAAAAATCTTTTCAAGATGCAGAATCCATGAATTTTTTTTAAATCAGTTTTTGATGGCTTTTCTTAGCTTCTAGGTAATCTTCCCGAAAATTTCCTCGCTGGGTGTCGTTGGGGCGCTGATATCGCCTTCTTAACCTATTAACCGAATGCCTGGCCTCCGTTAATTCTCTGTTTCACCGAGGAATTCGATGGGGATAAAATCTTTTTAATGGGATGTTTTTATCCATGGAATTTTGAATAATTTTAGTGTAATTTTGCACTATTACATCTACCGATTCGTTGTTATCTATCAGCCGAGTTACGGCTGGTAGACCATCCTCTATAGATTTTTTAAAAGCCAATCCAGTTCGCGTTTTTTTTGTCGTAGTTTTTGCCAGAGGTCTCGGTAATGGTGTGAGCTTGGGATGAGGACGTTTCTATATAAAAAAATATATACCTGTGGGCCGAAAGCGATTCCGTTAGCGAGGTTTTCCAATTTATGATTTTAGAGCCAATGTTTCCCTTTGATAGGGTTAAGTCTATATAACTGTTTCCTTGGTGAGAAGAGAAGTTCGGGATACCCGGCCCATTGTGCAAAATTAAGCCGCTATCGTATAGGAATTCAGTAAACCTCTCCCCGCGAAGGTTTCCAGCCTGTCGTACCAAATCTGGGATCTGAAGTTACTATCTATTCCAATGATAACAGGTAAGTGAAATAATTTAATTAATTTCGAAAATTCCGAAAGTTGTTCGTCAATGTTTCCAGAGGCAGCCAAATAGGTGAAATTTAATAGGAATTTTAAATCTTTGTACTGGGCTATTGCAGTGGTGGAAAAGTGGTTTGACAGATGTGGAGCCAGACAGAGAGAGATCTCCCGATTGAAATTAATAATTGCCGTCTGTGTCCCCGAGTGGAGACACCCGAAACGACCCGGAAATCCGCAAACCCTGTCGGTAGCGTAGGGTTCTTGGATTAAGGCGATATCAATGCCAGAGTCCGAGACGTGTTTGATTAAATGATCTCTGGCGGTGGATGATCTGTCTAAATATGAATAATTTTTATAGCCATATTAATTAATTAATGTACTTAAATTAATACTAATATTAAACTACTGGCGAGTATTCGCCCTACTGATGTCACACTGGCGCAGGAATACGGGACAACAGCGATCGGTCCCTTGCCCCGTGGTTGATGTCCACATGCTCCGTGGCGAGTTTCCTGCTAGCGTTATACCTAATACAATTAATGCACTTTCAGTCTTCTCTTTCTACCGTGCATTCGTACGTAGAGTGATTGCCTGTGCATTCCGGACACACTTTTTTTTATTAGTACACTGGGACTGGAGGTGTCCCTATGAATAGTAGTTATTACATCTTCGGTAGTAGTGGAAGTCGTGGACCTACCGTGAGCTCCACCCCATATAAAGGATGTCACCTGACTGCTTGAATGCCCTGCGTAGTTCAGGGATACGGTGACCACCCACGATCTATCACAGTTTGTCTCTTTTCCAATAAACATATTCCTGATGTGCTTCTGCACATCTGATAGAATATCACTGTGCTGACTGATTATAAAGTCCTTCGTGTCGCTTTCATTTATTTCCCATCTGACGCGGGGGACGATCAGACGAGGGTCGCGAAGGCCCGGAGACCTGACCCGAACGTCCTCCCGTTTATTTAAAGATTCCACGAGTCGTTTTGCTTCCACCCCGAGGTGTGTGAGCAGGTATTTGTAACAGAGCATACCGCCACTGGTGCCATCTGTTCAGGGGAAGAGCCGGCTCCAATATGAACGATTGATAAAAATAGAACTGAAACGTGGGGTAGGCAGTCGTTGGTTGGGCTTGATCCCACATACAATTATGCAGCGAATAGGGCCAACGGAATCAAATTAAAAGTCGAAATACAGCCGAAAAACTAAGAAAAACCGACATTGTCCGTGCCGAGTATGCAAATCGGGCAGAGGTCATTCATTCCAGTTATGCAAATAGACCGAGTTCGGCGAAAAACGCGAAAATTAACGGAAAAGCGCAATTCTGTTAACGATAACCAGCGATTCTAAGCGATAATTTACGATTTTAAGTACATAGAAGACACCAAAAACACATTTAAACACTAAGGTTAAAGGTTGAGAAAACACTTTAAAAAGTAAGGTTAAGGAGACGAAAAATCGCGACTACAGACAAAGAAATTAATTAATATGTAATAAAAAGCAACGTTAACGTTATGAAAAAGGGGAAA